ATAACAAGACCTTGGTGATACCAAGGTCCACCAAGGTGTTTTGTATATGGAGTTGATCTGTGACATATCTTAAAGGAGGATGATTCGGATTACTTTTAGAAAAGGGTAACAACAAGACAAAAATCTTTAAATCTCATAGTCAGCGTTTTTAATTGGTGATGAAATTGAGTGACATTAACCAAGAAACCTAATATACAGGAAATGTTTTTTTCTTCTTTAGTGAAGTAAAGAGTTGCTGGGGGGTTTCTCACAGTTTTTTGTTTTATATTCCTGTAGAAAAATAAAAGGCTTGAAAGTCAACAAACACCTTTTCATTATTATCTGGATCTATCTGAGACAATTTGCAAATAATAGCGTAAACTGTAGAATAATTAAGCATCGACTTTCCTATTGCCTTGTTGACTTGATATCTTATATAACCCACCTATGAGAGTACACAAGAGGCTTTAATCGTGCTCTTCAACCAAAATCAAACACCTTGTTCCAGACAATCTTATTTGAGAAAGACTGGGCAAGAGGCAAGAAATTGATTTTTGTGATACTGAAGCCCGATTGGTTGCTGCAGGTTGGGGGTGGATGAAGAGTGTTGTTTGTTTGACAGGTTTGAGTGTGGGTGAAGACAAAGCACACATGCCTCCCACATACCAGCCCCTTTCTTAGAGCCCATATTTTCTTGTTCATTGCTCAAATCGCGTATATGCACATTTCTGCGTATGTAGGCTAAATATGGTGTCTATTGAAAAATGTTATGATAAACAAAATGTAAGTGAAAACATTACTGTCTGAACCCCTCATGTCTTTCCACCCAGAACATACAAATCTTATCAGTACTGGACTATGGTGATATAATTTTCATTTCATTTGATGTTTCGCATCACAGCACTCTGAGATCAGGAGAAGCTTTAGAACTCATCACTGTGATTTGTACAGGGATGTAGGTTGGCCCTCGAAGTCAGTCAGAAGAGACCTGCACTCATCAGTATACATTTATAAAGCGCTTCCGGGAAAAAAGGCAGTGTAACTCACTACTTTACTGAATCCCAGGAGTGTCATTCTGGAGGTTCCAAAATTCAAAATAGTGCTTGGTACAGTAAAAAGTCCTTTACTTTATGCAGGATTTAAAGTTGGATCAACTTATTTCTTTGGAAGATTTTTTAATTCACCATTGACTATTCTTGTACCTGCAATTGTTAGATCTTAGTGAGGTGTTGTGCCATTTTTCTTACCCTTTCTCAAATTGTTTCTAATCCTTCATTTGCAATCTTGTAAGTTTTACGTTTGTCTATCTGTACTCAGTGGACCATGCACCCTGTAAAAATACATGTTGAATGAATGTCTTCTCCCTCACAATGTGCCCACACATCTTTGCTCTTCTTACATCAGTCTACCCAACCTCCTACCCTTCCTATCTCTCCAAATTTCCCCCCTGCCTGCTGTTCACCTGCAATAACCACGCACTGCCATTATTGGCCCCTCTCAAATGTCACTGTCTCCCTCGAATATCCAATATCCTGATAAACCACTGAAGGGTGGAAGTCGTAATCATGCAGGTGGGTAAAAAGGCCACTGAAACATGACCATGTCCTGATTTAAAATGTTCTTTACTATCCTTTCATAGGTTATTCCCATGGCTGGGATTTATAGTTAACATCAAGACCCATCTGGTGAGTAAAAATTGACCTTTAAAGGTAAAAATGTAAACTATTACTGGATGTGGACTTCCTTGATAATACTTAGATTTGGCTATATTATGAATACTTTGAGATATTTCTGTAACATCAACAACTCACCTATTCGCTGGTCACCCTGTTGAATCTGTTTTGTGTCAGCGAGTCTGTTCTTTCAAAGATCCTCAACTTAGGAAAGCTGATTTACACCAAACAAAGCTATGTTCTGATTTACTGCTCAGATCCTTTTTTCCCCCAATTTTTACTGACTTGTAAAAGAACATTACCAAAGACATAAAGCCACCGATGCTCAAACGAAATTAAATGTTGTCCATGGAGTACCATGTTGCTATGTAGCTCCACTGGCTCATGGCTGGGTTTATTTAAAAATAATGTTTAACACAATATGAAATTTACATTGTATCCAAGCATTTCTTTTGTTCAAGTCTAAAACTCTATTAATGTTGCAACACATTATCCCGCCATCTTTGTTTTTAAGGTTTTCAAGCATGCACCTACTGGTGTAGCCTGCATTGAAGCAATAATTGTAAGACCTCATTGTAGCTGAGTGACAGTATGAGGACTACATGAAAGTGTTCAAATCCAAATCCAAAATTACAGATTCAGTGTGATTTTCTTCTGGTTATGGTTTCAAAATAGCTCAGAGTCAAATAGTAGAAGAGAAAATAGAATTTGGTTCACTTCTACCTGCAGCTCGAATGTGTGATGTTTCTTTCAGAGAAATGTGTGTACAGCATGTTACCGTAAAGTTGTTTTATTTTATGTGTGCTACTCCATGTTGCTGCCAACCTATGTGCACCTTTCCCCTCCCACACCTTCCATTCTGCTTCTGCCAACAAATCCTCTGAGGTCCTTCCTCCAACACTAATTCAGCACCTCTGTTCAAAGCCGAGGAGCTTGTCTTATTAGCACCTGCATGACTGTCCTTGATGCTGTTACAAAGGCAATTTAAGACACATAACGCTGCCTTTTTCCACGCTGAAAAAAAGTGGAAATAGAAAGCTGTTAAACTGTAACTGTTCTGCAATATTAAGAAAGACCTGATGTTGAAATACCAAGCAGATATTAAGGAAGCAGGAGTAGCTTATTCCACCCACTGTTCATTTGTTTACTGAATAAATATATTAGATGGATTAGTTGCAGCCTTTCAGTGTGCTGTCTTTGTGGTACTGTCCCTCTACTACACATAAACACTGTCCAGAGAAACAAAAAGAGGGAATTTGGTACTAAAAGACCGTAACTTTGGGTGATATCCACTTCATTTGTCTAACTCAGACTGCTTAAGTCATTGCTTTCAGATAAAGTTTTGGATACATTTTTGCACAGAAACAGGCCCCATCACCTGCCTTGGAAGCACATTAGGAAGAGATGATTATAGCAAGCCAAACTTGTTTCATACAGTATGGGCACATAACTATTATTTTATGATAGACATACAAAAAGCTCTTCTTTAACTGTCATTACCTTTCAAATATAAATGTTTCATAAGTTTCAGTCATGTGGTATTGCCATATAAAGAATTCATCATAGATGAATGGATGATAAACTCATGTGGTAACACATGTAATATTTGAATTTGACTGCAAGCAATCACATGTTGTCAGTGTTTGTTTACAGGTGCAGCTCATCAAGTATCAGTTCTAAAACACATTTACACCGCAGGGTGTGATACTGAGTTTTACTCAGGAATCTCAGTTCTCTGAATTTGGTGCAGGCAGACACCAAAGAGGGACAACTGGCCGCTCATGGACTTTACAGCATGTCATGGTTTGGTCAGAGGAAGAGATGGACACGCAAGAGGAGACAAAGGGAGAAAATATAAATCACTTAATAAATGATGATAGGTTAAGCTACCCAGCACTAAAAAAACATGACAACAAAATGTACTCATAGTATTAAAGTAAAGTAAAAGTACTTTTTAGACAGGATGGTCCCTTTCAGAGTTATATTATTAGATATCATATCATTACACTCTCGTTACTGCTGCTTTATGAGCAGTATTTTGGTGGAGGTGGAACACATTTTAACTACTTTGTATACTGTGAGTCAGAACTGAAGAAGTCTCTTGGATGAGGGATGAAACATCTTTTAGTATCTTCAATCAAGTCCAGTTGCCCTTGATTTTAACCTTCCTTGGATAACTATGACCTGGGTGACTGAGAACCTTCACAGACACACTATTGGTTAGTTTAATCTATAGCACAGCATCATATTTTATAGCCTACAATGATCATATGTTTTGTTTGTAAAATTTTATTCTATGATTTAACTTGTAGCTGTATCTACCAGATAAATGTAGTGGAATGAGAAGTAATATATTTACCTCTGAACTGTAGTGGAGTAGAAGTATAAAGTAGCAAAAAATTTACCCACTTTACATACATGTAGGCAACTTACTTTCCACCACTGGGCACTATAAGTTTGAAAACTACTTTTACTTAGCCTTAGTATGAGTTTGATTGCAGGACTTTTGCTTTAACAGAGTATTTTACTCTGTATTATTGCGTATTCATTTTATTTCCACCACCTAAACAGCTGGGGAGGTGGGTTTTGTGTTGTTGTTTATTCACTGACGAAAAAAACAACACAACTTTTTTTTCTTCCCACAAGCCATCACTCTGATGAACAGCTGACTTCTGACTCACGGTGTCAGGAACAATTCCTGTGGAATAACCCAGTAACTCTGTCTCTAATCAGCCTCCTGTTTACTTACTAGCATTCATCCTTCTCTCATTCTCTATTTCAGAGCTGTTCATATTGTTCTTACTTTTATATTGTCATATTGTATATACTGTATATCAAATCCACCTACCTCAAGTACAAAATACCTGCACATAATACTTATTTATTCCAGCATCCTTTGCACTATGCTCCATGCACCTGTACATCTCATCCTCCTCTGACATGTACATAATAATAATAATAATAATAATAATAATAATAATATTTTACTCCTACATCCTTTGCACTCTTCTCATTGTACTATTGTCTCAATATGTCAATATTGTTTTTGTTTGTACAGTATATATATATATATATATGTATATGTGTGTGTGTGTGTGTGTGTGTGTGTGTGTGTGTGTTCTCTATACTGTAGCCTGTGTCTGACTTTATTATTGTATTATTGTATAAGTAAGCACATCGTGAGCAATGTACAATCCTGAGTCAAATTCCTCTTACGCGTACACAAACCTGGCAATAAAGCTGATTCTGACTCTGACCACATTTACGCTCTAGCGCTAGTCTATGTATTACGGTAAAAACAAGTGCGCTTTCGTGTGAGTGCAGGTTAATACGGTCGTGTCCAGCTCCCTCGGATTGTTTGCTGCGCCGTGTTTCTGAAAGCACGGAGTTCGGCGATGTACCTCCACACTGTCCGTCCTGCTCGCTCTCTGTAGTTACCAACGTTACACTCTGGAGACCACTCCGCTTCCTGTTGTAAGTTACACAATATATTCTGTGCTTTTTTTAATATCTTCACCACGAACTTCAATTTTAAAGATGCTTCAAGCTATGTTATCTACCTGTCGTCTTGGAGAGTGAACACTAACTGCTAACGTTAGCTGAAATAACGTTATAAGTCATTTGCGCTGCGTGATTTGAAGAGATTATCGACTGTTGTGTCCGTTTAAAGATATTTTATTTCAGTCGGCGGTGAAGTTGTTTTGTTGTAGCTGCAACGTTACTTAATTTTAATTTTCTTAAAGTATGGGTAACGTTGCAAACGTTGGGGTAACGTTAGTGAAGTTCAGCGTGGTGGACAGCTCTGTAAAATAAACCCTTTAAGAAAAAAAAAAAAACATTCATTAACATTAGAAGATGGAGACCTTAATGGATTCTGTATGTTTTATCGTTTAGCTCCATGACCATGTTGCTTCACCCCAGCCAGTAACTGTAAAGTTATTTATCGGCCAAATGTTAACGTCATCCAGTTAAAAGCCTTAAAATGTGTGCTTTCATTATTCACCGCAACAGAGGTGAGCATGTTCATAGTGTGTGCTGCTGGGTTTGACAACTCCCAAATCCCAGTCCTGATTTTTTTTCTTTCAATTTCATTAATACATTGTAGTTTTTATGTTTTAAATAAAAAGATTAAAACGTTGAGAGCCAAAACACACCAATGTCCGGATATTTCAGTGGTAGAAATTGCTTAATTTGCGCAAGAACTGACTTAAAAAATAAATGCCAATGCCCCAGCTGTGTTTATCACAAGGAAGATGGGAGACATACACAGTAGTGTGTGCTGTAATGTTTACATAAAAATGAAAGGAGTTTGTGTCAGTGTACACAGTTCAAATTAATACTTTAACTCTGAAATTATAATTTAGATAAAATGCAATAATGAAATGAAACTGCAAAGGTAAAGCGGTGTGTTGGAGTCAGTCAGTGAAAGTCTGTTTTATGCCTCACAGTTCAGGTTAGTGTTGATGTGTCAAGACTTGTCTAAAGTGCAGTTTAGCAATGCTTCAGCACTCCCAGAGTATATAGTTATGTAGTCAGTGTTGTGAACTGACATATAGCTTGATATTATGCAGTCTGCAAGGGGAACTCTCAATCCTATTTATGTTATGAGGATTGTGTATTGGATAGCTGAAGTGTAATTTATTTTCCAACCTCCAACTACTGAATTTGTTGAGGAAGGAAGAACAGACAATGAACAGTATGTTTGTTTTTATTTTTGCCTTAAAATGACACCACTGCTAAATGCATGCCGGTGCATCGACATGCCCATGTTTGTAATGCTACAAGCATAACTTCAGATGCTTAGGCCAAACAGAAGCCAGTACCATGAGGGAAGCAACATGGTGGCTATTACATTTTTTTATATTTGACATCTAATAAGGAGACAAATGAGGGATTTTACCCCCCAGCATGAAGCCATGTAAATAGTTTTTTTTGGTTTATCTTTTTCATTAATCAAGCCTTATTCCTGTGGCAGCAGTTGCACTGTTTGTTAATCGCCTTGTGATCAGGAGCCAACATGTCATCCAGGCTCTGTGGGCGGGCAGGCGATTCTAATTGGCCGAGGAACTAGGAAAGATGAAACAGGGCTTCCTTCTCTGTTCTTTGTGCCCACGGTGACAAAGGTTTCAGCTTTGAGGAAAATTAATAAAATTGATGTGGAGTGGGCAGAAGTGATTGTCTGTTGAAGATGCAGTGGTTGTGCTAATGTAGCCATCAGCATTTTTTCTGCCTGAGGTATGTGTTCAGCAGCTGTCTCTCTGTCCTTTTAACCAAAGCAGGCATGATCAAACCACTAGGCATTATCTCTGTTAACATAGCAGCACTACTTTCTGAATCCAGAAGTGGCTCTGTAAATGGGTCAGATCTGGCCTGATGATGACCTTTTGGACGGTTTTCTTTTTCCATGAATGCGTATGACTGCAAAATACTGTCACCTCAGCCAAACCTCAGAGACCTTTTCAGCTTTCATTGTGAGCTCCCCTCACTAATGGCTCTCATGCAGAAAAACAGCACAACTCTCTGTGTCACCTAGAAGTGGCACGCATTCTCTTACAACTTTTCATAATACCTGTCTGACATTACATTATATAATGACCTCCGACATCAGTGGGGCAGATGTACAGCAGGTGTACTATTGGTGGACATTGTACTATATTTACTACAAAACTGAGCGTTTCTCTTTGCAAGTTTTGAATGTGTCCCCATGCACTCCACTGTACTGGAAAGAGAGTTAACCAGGTCTCAGTGGAACCGGGCTGTGAGGTTGAAATGATCCTGGGAGTGTTGAGCATTAGCATGTAGATGGTTATGTGTCTCGGTGTAGTTTTTGTGAAGCATGCTGTGGAGTCAGACCAGACGGTGACCCCTTGTTTTGTTTTAACCCCTCAGTGATTAACGCTGGGGTATGTAATTTATTTCAGATTTTAAAAAAATATATATATATTTTATATCTCTTTATATCCTCACAGCAATCAATAAATCAAAAGGTCTGACACACACACACACACACACACACACACACACACATATATATATATATATATATATAAATTTTTTTTTTTTACTGTAACAGCTTACAGTGTGGATCTCCTCTACAAGGGTTGTTTTGGTAATTGTCCCTTTAGATTTAGTCTTAAAATAGGAACAAATATGATTTACCTCAGGAGAACGGTGGTTCGCTATATTTAGCTTCATCTTTCTTTACTGACTTCTGGTCTGTGTCTAGGGACACCGGCAATATTCTGACAATGAGGATGGCTTTCTTCCTGGCATCTTTACTTTTAATTTCCCACTGTCTGGTGTAACAGGGGGTTAGCCATAGGCTTTAATAATGACCCTACAGCAGATGTGCTTCTTTTTATTTACAGTGGACAAGATTAGAGAAGCAAACCATATGTTGCTTTTCAGACTTTGTCGTTTTATGGCAGTGATAGGCGGCCCGACTCATTAATTACATCTGGGGAAGACAGAAAAGCAATTCCATTATTGAATGGTGGCAAAACAATGAAGACAATTTCTGTGTATATTTGGCAAGTCATTTCCCTCAGGCAGTTCCAGCTGTCTGCATAAACTCAGCAAAATCTCATTTGGGATTCATTATCTTTGATAAACCCTTTACTTCGCATTGTAATGTTGTACGATATGTGGTGCTATCTTTTGTTTGACTTGCTTCCATCCGCTTTTGTTTGCCCAAAATATATTTATGTGGCTTTTATGGGACTACTCTAAAGAAATTTTTTATTTGAAAACATATGCTATAATTTTTTACTTGACAGATAACTTTAGTGGACGCCAGAGGACATTTGAAAGAGCGGAATAGTGGAAACACCATCTTCTTCTTCAGTTGGGGTTATGAGCAAGGTGTAAAACTCCACATCTAACGGTATCTGTATTCAGTAAGTAAAAGTTCTGTTTCACTTTCCCTATTTTAAAATGGTTTAGTAATTGGTTGGTCTGTAGAAAAAGGACCACAGTTGAGGAATGAGGAATATGCCAGGCTGTGTTGGTCAGCTGTTCAAAGGCCTATGCTCTGTGTGTTGTTTGGAGTCTACATGTATTCATGCTCATGTGTGTGCGTGCGTGCGTGTGCGCATGCTCTGAGTTTTTTTAATATGGTTTCACATTTACCCCCTTGCCATTTGGACAAAGTCACCTTTCAGTTCTCCTCAGCAGTGGTCATCATCTAACATTTTGCATAGTGTTGTCTGGTCAACTGACCTCTTGGCAATATTTTACTTGAAGGACTCCATTCTTACAATTTGGTGAAAGAAATTGAAATATCTCAGCTGCTAAATCTTAAAAACACAGGCTGCAGCTTTATCTCTCCATAGACTTAGCCTATCAGCTTTAGAGCCATCCCTCTGCAGCTTGCTTAATCTCTATCCTACAGGCGTCTTTTTCATTTACACACTGATTCCATTTAGACATTGGAACTCAGCAGCAGCTCATCACTAATCATTTGGTTCCCTCTGAACTGACAACTGTTGCTAGTGTACTGCATTATGGATCACTTAGCGTGCAAGGTTCATCAAGAGGTCGCTCCACTAAAGTAGTTTCTCTCTGACTGTCACAGAAAATTACTGATTTGGGTAATGTTTGAAAAAGAAAATAATATGTACATTATCTTCTCAATTATCCACTAATCGTTTGGTCTGGAAATCTCAGAAAATAGTGAAAAATGCCCTAGCTGAAGACTAAGAAAACAGGATAATATTCAAAAGTGACTGTCTGAAGCCAGAGGATTTTTGGTGTTCTTTCTTAAATTATTTACATGATGATTAACTGATTATCAAATTGTTGCCAATTCGTTTTCTGTTGATTGATTAATCAACTAACTGGATTGCCATTTGCAGATGTTTCTGAGGCCGGCATGCAAATCAGCAGACAAAAAACAAAACCAGAAGTTTGTGTAAATTGTCAAATATGGCTGAAAAATACATTGAGCAGCAGCTGCGGTTGTCAGCAGAATAGATGTCCCTGGTCCAACTTGGCCGACCTTTTTTCAACAATATGTCTTTTAAAGTGACTTTTCCTGTTGTGATGGTTTAGATAAGGATGGGAATCTCACTCTTATGACGCAGATCCCAAATAGCTTTCGCCTGGTACAATCATGCACTCAGACCAGGCCAAAATGAAGTAGAACCATTGTAACTGGCCAGACTGGTTACCAGTGCTCTCTCCAAGTAGGGCTGTTGCAGTGAAGTAACTTCCCCTGCAGTGATTTATTGTGGCTCAACAGTGCAGTATATTTGCTATTTTTGTTTTGTTTTTTCAAATTTATGTTGAATTAAGTATATACTGCTAACACCCCACCGCCCACTGCTGCCAACACAGTTAAACTGTCGTTCTGTGGGAAACACTATATATTACAAGGTTATCATGTTTGCACTATTTGAGAATGTATGGTATGTTTTTTTTAGGCAGAATGTTTAGCCATATTGCCCAGCCCTTGCTGAATTTATATCATATACAAAATTCCACATTGAGTTGTTTTAACTTTACTGCATTTAAAAAGCTAAAGAAAACATAAATAGTGATAGTATTAGGACTGTGTGATCATCAACAGGGGTATCAGTTTGATACCCTGTCACAATGGACATGCTGCGTAGAGTGACGCAGTTCGGCGGTTCCAATACAAAATCACCCAGATCTCTATCACATATACTCTGAACAAACACGAAGACGGGCAGGCATTGGTCTTTACTATTTTTGTCCCTCCAAACATACTTTATTATTGTCTAAATGAAGTAAAATAAATCACAATTCCTGAAGGATGACATACATTCCCTTTCTCAGTACTAGAGCTCAAGCAGCAACTTGAACATACAGAGGTTCCACAAGACTGGCTTTTGCCGTTTTACCAGTACCAGCTCAACTCGCCTCGACTCGGCTTGATTCTACTCGACTCGCTTTGGCCGTGCTCCGTTTTCCATTGCACATAGTACCCAGAGAAAGTACCCCTCAATGTAGCTGGTCTTCATAGCGACGCCACACACAACTGCCGTGACGTAATATTCAATGCGACACACACAACAGTGGCACACACACAGCTGTCTCTTGATTTAAGTTAAAGCATTTCAACATTACTCAGAATGTAAAGACAGATAGGCGGTATGAAAACCTTACAGCTCTGCTTTCCTCTACCGTTGTTGCTGCAGTGGTCTCTGTGACAGTGGGACCAGAGGGCTCTGTGAGCAGGCAGGCTCAGGCAGGCTCAGGCAGGTGTTTATTTTAAATATAATTCACAACCGATAAAGCATACTTACAGGTTGTGATTGTGAATTTCTAGGCCCAAACAGTGTCGGAGTTGCATCGTCTTTTAGGACTAAACGTTGAACTGTTGCCGGTGTTCTGACGATCTAACGTTATGCTGCTTTGCCGAAAAATGCTAACATAGCACAAATCCATAGACTCGACTCTACTCCGTCCTGCTCCATTTTCCATTGCAGGTAGTACCCAGAGATAGTACGTAGCTTGTCGTCATAGCGACGCCACACACAACTGCCGCGACGTAATCTTCAATGCGACACACACAGCGTTTTTTTAAAACGTTTGAACATTCCTCAAAATGTAAAGACAGATAAGCGGTATGAAAACCTACAGCTGTGTTTTCCTCTGTGTGACGACAGGAGCAGAGGGCTCTGTGAGCGGGCGGCTGGCCGGTGTTGCGGTTTAACGAGTGGCCCTGTTAACTGGTGGCCGTCAGCCGAATGCGTCTGTGGTTGTCGTAGATACGACAGCTGTTGAAAACAGGAAGAGAATACATAGGTGTTCCTGCGAATGCCTCTTTCTTTAGTTAGTAATTAAAAAGTCAAAACATACTTTTCTGATTCGTCTTTGGAGTCGTGTGTGTGTGTGTGTAAACCTGTCACGTACCACTTTGTCACGCTTTGAACATTGCTTGTAGTTACGGAAAATGTTGAACTCACAGAATTCACAGGAAGAGGCAAATTACTCTTCCTGTGAATGTCAAACATTATCTCTAATAAATGTTTTAAATACACATATTTGTCTTTGGAGTCTATGTCAGTAAACACGTGTCATGTAGAAAAACGATTCAGCCTTTTAAAATGAATAAAATAAAAAATATTTTTATCACGGGATTCGAGCTCAGATCAATGTGGGAAAATAAATCAAAGTCGGATCGATATTCCACTAGCCTACGTTGCCATCACCTCTCACTTATCTGTCGGTGTGGCATAAAACAACTTCTAGAGCATACAGCCAGCCATCACTCTTTAAAACGGGAGACACAGATCAACTTGTGACCACACAACCAAGACCATGTCCGTATTTTACTTGTTCCCTTCACAACCAAGCCACCGTTTAACACAGTTGTTTACAAGATGTGGATGGGCAATATTTATGTTAGTAGCCTACTTCGTCCTGTGCAAGCATTGATTTGGCATGGCATTTGTGGTTCTTGGTAAAAACCTGATTAGTAAGCTCCGTGGGTGTATTCACATTTACCAAGAGGCGTCATATCTGAAGAGGAGTTTACAATATAATGTGTCAAAAATTGGCAGTAATGACGTGGCGGTAGAGAATCTTTTTCTAGATGTAAGTTGGAAATAAGTTTTACCTATGGAAAATTTTCAGTGCACGTGAACACACACATTCTGCAAGAGTTTTATTCACTGGCCATGGGCTTACTGTTTATTAGTTTTCTCCCTCTGTGCCTTACACGCAAACACACACACACACACACACACACACACACACACACACACACACACACACACACACACACACACACACACACACACACACACACACACGCGCCCTGACAGAGTTTGGGGATGTTTTGGAAAGTTAGAGCTGTTTTGTAAGATTTGGTCCAGGCAAAAGAGAATTTGTCTGACTACTTGTAAAGTGAGCTGTGTGAGCTGCAGGCCATATTCCATTTCCTGAACAAAGATATAACATTTCCAGGAAGAGATGTAATGACTTCTCAAAGGAAATGACTGAAATTCTGTTGTCTGTCCCCGGATTATTTTGCACAGTTACTACAACTTAACTGCTATGTTATCGGTGTAATCAAACAAGCTAATGGCATGCTATTTAGCGGTTCCTTGCATTTTTAAAGATTGCTTTGTGTTTTCTGCAGACAAGAGGAAGGTTGAGGTTTAATGGAGGTTGTAACATGCAGTGTTACAAAAATTGATTTTCTGTCACAGAGAACCTTTTATTATTTGTGCTCTGTCTGCAGTGTGGGAGAATGATGGGACAAACTAATCTCAGTCTGAATAGTAACAAGAGTGTTAGAGTTTGTGGAAGGTGCTCTGTTTACTGATAGGGGGAATTGATTGAAGTGTTTCATTGCATCAGAGTAACACAGAGAAGAATAAGGGAGAATGGGCTGGGTATCAAACGTAAATCTTTGAGCACTGACCAAATTGTGTGTGTAGTATTTATTATTCTCAGTTCAAATCTTAGCAGGTGTTCAGGCAGAAAACAGCCCTATGTAAAAACAGCGTAAGAGGCTGCAAGTGTTGGGGGAGTGTTGTTTCAATGAACTGGTGAGATGATGAAGTAGGATCCAGGAAGGCTGATTTCAATAGTAGATCTTTTTAGTAGAGTTTAAAGGCTTGTCAGACGCCAAACCACTGCACAGCAGTGATGAGCCAGGTTCATCTTTGTGCCTATGCATAGAGTGTATAAAAATCAGTGCATCGCTCCTATTCTAATGAAGGAGAGGGCTGTGTTTTTGGTCATAGTTGGGTAGCGGTAGGAGTCTGCCAGTCCTTAGTCATTCAAACGTGCTATGAAGATGGCAGCAGGCAACACTGCTGAAGTAGCATAGTTAAAGAAAAAAGGCAGCAGCGTCTATCAATGATTATCGAAGTAGTGAATTTTTGCAGATTTCAGACATTGAACTGTGATGTGCAAAGTAGAC